GGGGGGATTGTGTACCAGGGAGGTAGTCTTTCTTTTACTTTTGAAAGAGAGGAGCGAACTGGGGGGTGGGGGGAGAGGGCTGGGTGGGTAGAGAAGGCAGCAATGAATGAATGGAAATCCAAATTCTCTGTAAATGTTCATTAAAATTATTTTTTAAAAAAAGATTTACAGCTTCATAAATGCTATGAAGCAATTCTCCTCCATCCTTTAGGACCATTATGAGTCAGAATAAACTTGGCAGCAGCAGGTTTAGTTGGGATTTGTGACACCTATTCTTAGCTGATTTGTTGCCATTTTCTTTTCCAGCTTTCTACGTTGTAGATTCCACATTGATATGCAACTTCTGTGCCTGGTACTGGGTCTCTCCCTGAGTGTGAGTGTGTAGGGGCCATCTCTGCCACTGAGAAGTAGATCCATTAAACTATTCTGATGTGCTCAAAGAGGAAAACAGAAAGTTAACATAGATGTTCTGACACAGTGAATGCTTGTTAAATGTTCTGCTTGGTATTAGGATCTTTACATTATCTCTACACTTCATAAGGAACTTGCAAAATAAATATTATTTATTTGTGTTTATGACTCACATCCATGCATGATTGAGATTTGTTTGCTTCTAAAGTCCTTGCGTTTTTAGCATATCACATTCTATTTCATTTCTCTAGTTAATACTTATTCCCAACAGTGACAGGTATGTTACATGAACTGTGTGTGCAGGATCAAGTTCAGCCAAGAGACTGATACTCACCAGCCAGAACCTGAGTGTTGGCCACACAGCTCAGCAGCAGAAGCAGCCACGAGCCCTTGAACATCATCCTCTTCTTCCCCTGGGAACCCTGGTCCTACTGCAAGGATCTCAGGATTCTCCTTAGTTTTTTCTTGACCTTCTTAGATTCCACAGACCTGCAACATGAACACACACTGGTAAGAAACACTTAGTTAAGTTTCAAATAACATGTGAAGGGAAAGAATGTTTTCCTAGTTAAATCCAATGTGATGGCTAATTGTACATGATTTACTTCTGTAGAGAGTCACAACTGGCACCCAGAATGTACAATAAAGAGGATTCCAAGTTAAGAATAGAGATTAGGAAAATGTAATTTATAAGGTTTTGTTCTCATATTCAAGGCCTCTGGGTCTATGACAGAGAGATGTTGTTGTTGTTATGTGCTGTCGAGTTGCTTGCAACTCATAGCGACCCTATGTACAACAGCCCTAAACTCTGCTCTGTCCTGTGCCAATCGCACTGTCTCCGACACGCCCATCCCGATTATTTAAAAAAAAAAAAATAGGGGGCGGGGGCGATTATATACCAATGAAGGATTTTTCTTTTGCTTTTCGAAGAGAGGAGCGAACTGGGGCAGAGAGAAAAGTGCAACAATGAATGAATAGAACAAAATCTCTGTAAACGTTCATTAAAATTAAGAAAATAAAACTTTAAAAATGTTTAATTAATTTTAATGAAAGTTTACACAGACTTTGGGTTTCCATTCATTCATTGATGCACTTTTCTCTCTGCCCACCCCTCCCCCCCATTTACTTTTCTTTTTGAAAAACAAAAGAAAAAATGATTTAATTGTTATTCAGTCCCTCCCTCCAAGTCCACTCAAGTATGCTACCTTTGTTCAGGACGATGGAGAGAACTGTTTAAAAGCGATATATGATTAGATATTATTGTTATGACAAGAGTGCTAACTTCGTGAACTCTGCATTTTAGGAATCTGAATAGAAACTACATTCCACGAGTGAGCGCTGTTATTTTCAGAATTACCAGCAGAGGGAGATAGAGGCAAGCCTCTCACAAAAGAGATCATCACGGAAGTCACTGTTTGCAAATCAACTCTGACTCCACTCTTCAGTGACAATTAAAAGTGAGCCCAACGTCTAATAACTCACATAGATTAATGAGAATATAGGCCAGTGGGTCATTTACACATTTTTACACCAAAACATACCATGTGACTTCCGTGGAGCACTCCCTGTACTCTTAGTTGTCATTCTTTCCCCTACTATCAAATAATACAAGGATTGCTACAAAATCAAAGAAAAAGTGTAAAATAGGGAGCATATGCCACCTCCCAGAGAGAAATAATTTGATGGCTATCCTGTAGACCTCCCCCTTCTCACTCCTTGTATAATTTTATATAGAAGACTAAGAAAATTCACAAGACTCAGATTCTTCTGTAATCTGATGATGTTTCTGATGCTTATCAGCAGTGATTGAGTATCAGAACTTCTTTGTACTTGTATAATTTTTATGTGGCTTTGGTACTTTTGTTAGCATAAATTAGCTTTTTCATAGTGATGGTCTCTCATAACAAAGACGCTACTATTTTCACAGCATTTGCTAACACACTCTCACAAGGGGCCATCATCCTCACAGCCTGTTCTGGGATGCTGGTTTCCCCAAGCCCTAATGAATGAGTGAGTTTTGTCAAACGTTTTTCCCCTTCTAATTTTAGTATATTAAAGGATAACATTATTGTTCTTATGAACATTTAAAAATTGTGAGTGTCAGTCTGGAGACTAAGGTCTGCCTGATACAGGCCGTAATTACTTGCTTTGCATCAGGAGCTAGACAATGTCTAAGGATGACAGAAGAAGAATCAATGCCTTTGAGTTGTGATGCTGGAGAAGAGCCTTGAATATGCCATAGACTTCCAGGAGAACAAACAAGGCAGTCCTAGATACGTGGTCAGAAAGGACCACTCTTTTTGGGGGGGGGGGCTTCTTTTTTTTACCAAGTCCTTCAGAGCAGCCTGTACTTCCTTTATCACCGTGCCCCTTGATCATAAGTTGTTTCTTGGAATTCTTCTATGTCAGCCAATTCTTTTTGGTACTTTGGCTCTCTATACTCCTTCCGACTTCTTTTGCTGCTTCTTGAATAATTCAATAGTCTACTCATAGCATCCTTAAGTATTGCAACTTGAGGTTTGAATTTGTTCTTTCATTTCTTCGACTTAGAAATTCCGAGCCGGTATGGCCCTTTTGATTTTTCAGACTCCAGTTCTTTGCACATTTCGTTATAATAATTTGCTTTGTCTTCCCAAGCTGCCCTTTGATATTGTGGTTAACCTTGAGGAGAATGGGAATCCAAGACCACTTGATTGTACTTATGTGAAACCTATACTTGGACCAGGAAACAGTCCTCAGAGCAGCACAGGGAAACACTGCACAGTTCAAAATCAGGAAGGGAGTATGTCAGGGATACCTCCTGTCTCCATACCTTTTCAGTCTATATGCAGAACAGATAGTTTGTAAAGCTGGGCTTTATGAGGAGGAATGTGGCATCATCTATGTTATGCAGATGACACAACCTTGCTTGCTGAAACTGAAGAGAACCTGAAGCACTTGCTGCAGTAGGTCAAAGACTATTGTCTTCAATATGTATTGAAGTTCAACATCAAGAAGACAATGATTCTCACCACAGGGCCAATTGGCAACAACATGATGAATGGAGAAGAGATTGAGGTTTTTAACAGTTACAGCTTGCTAAGATCCACAGTCACCACTCTTGGCACCAGCAGTCAGAAAATCAAAAGAAGAATTGCATTAGGTAAATCTGCTGTCAGGGATCTTTCCAGAATACTGAGAAGCAATATTGTCAGTCTAGAGACTAAGGTGCTCCTAATCCAGGAGCTGGTCTTCACAATTACTTGTTATGTATCAGAGAGCTGGACAATAACTAAGGATGACACAAGAATTGGTGCCTTTGAGTTGTGGTGCTGGAGAAGAGTTTTGAACATTCCATGGACCACCAAGAAAACAAATAAGTCTGTCTTGGAGAGGATGAAACCAAGTTTCTCCTTGGAGGCTAGGATTTTGATGCTCTGTCTCACATACTTAGGGCATGTGGCCAGGAGGGACCAGTCCTTGGAGAAGGACGTCAGGCTCTGTAGAGTTGAGGAACAGTGCAGGAGAGAAAGGCCCCAGACAAGATGGATTGATACAGTAACTAGGGCAGTGGGGGTAGGTGTGTCGGAGTCAGTGAGGCTGGCTCAGAACAAGACTAGCTTCAGAGCTGTTGTACATAGGGTCTCTATGAGTCACAGAGGACTCAATGGCACATAACAAGAACAAGTAAGGAGCTATGCCGCTAACCCAAAGGCATGTGGTTCAAATTCACCAGTTAATCTGTGGGAGATAAATGGGCAGTCTCCTCCTGTAAGATTTATCTCCTCAGAAAATCTGCTGGAGATTCAGCTGTAAGTTGGTTGCAACATAACAGCACATAACAACAATTATCATCACTGCAGGCCCTCTAAGGAGCTCTGGTGGCAATGTAACTGTCAATAGCTGGAGCTCACCAGGTGTTCCATGGGCGAAAGCTGTGACAGTTTATTTTTATAAAGATGTACAGTCTTGGAAGTTCTGTGAGATCCATTCTATTCTGCCCTATAGAGTCACTATGGGTCACAATGAATTCAGTGGCTGTGACTAGATGGGGGCAAGAACTCTGTAGACAAACTCTCTTCCTAAAGTGATGGGATGTTCCCTGCATTATAAGCTGTAATAAACGTTAATCTACAAATGGATGATATGCAGACAGAAAGGGCAGATGAACAGATATGAACAGATGGAAGAAACTACATATGAAGGTCTGGCAGATGGTATTTCTACATTCATGTTAGTTCATACTGTGAATAAATCCATGTATATAGCAGAGGCCAGCAGGGGGCAAAGTCACATAAACTTCTTAATCATAACAACATACAAAAGGACTCAGTTGTTGGCCATAGAACCTCAAGAGCAAAGTGTCTGGTGACATCAAAGTCATTTGGTATTAACATAGTCTACAAAGGCAATGCTCTATGTCTTACTTTGGTGAGTAGTGACAGAGGTCTTAAAAGTTTGTACAACTACTGTTCTTAATCTGGCTGGAATAAAGGAGAGGGAACAAAAGGAAAAAAATAAGAATAATTAGTTCAAAAGGACTAATGGAACTCGAAAACCTAACTTCTGTGACTCTGAGATAAGAACTAGATGGTGCCTGGCTACCACTGCTGACCACTGTAAAAATACCCAAAAACAAAAAACCAAAAGGTCCAAACAATAAAAATATACCAGGCTTACTGGTTCAATAGAGACTAGTAGAATCCCTGAGATTATGGGCCTTAGTTACCTTTAAAATTAGAAACAAAGCTCACTCTTTTGACTCAACTATTAGCCAAATAGTAGACAGGGTAATGATAACCAATGATATCGTGGAGACATTCATTCCTTAGAACTAGAATCCATACATGAACAAAAGAGCAGCATTTGTCCAAGGATAAAACTCAAAAGGCAGAAAGGGATAGGACAGAAGGGTAAGTAGAAACAAGAGTAACAGGGAGGAAGCAGGAAGAGTGTTGTTACCTAGTACAGATTGTAATTAATGTCATAAACCAATGTGTATGCAGAGTTGAGTGGAAAACCAATTAGATTTATAAATTTTAACTCAATTTTTTTAAAGCAGTGGGATTTGTCATCATCTTTAAATCTCTCTCTTTTTTTCTTTCTCTTATTGTGTACTGTCATATCCGATCCGACTGGCACAGGAGGAGATTACGCTTTCTTTTCCAGTGGAGCATCTGGTGGATTCGAACCATGCACCTTCAGGATTGCAGGGCAGCTTCTTGCCTCTAGGCCACCAGAGCTCTTGAAACCTCCTTTAAATCAGAGTAAGAAATTGCCTGACAAGCTGACTGAGGAGGAAGGGAGGTACTGCATCTTTTTGAATGACCTGTACATGAACCTTAGCAAAGCAACCTTCAACGCATGCAAAATGGCTTCTCTTTCAGTGCTCAGAGCTAAGTTCCGTTGCCTGCATTGT